AGCGGCCGGACCCGGCCCCATGGCGCGGGGGGACGCGGGCCGCCGGCTTCTGGCGCTGAGCTTCTGCCTGCTGGCCACGCGCGGTAAGGGCTGCCGCGGGGCTGGCGCGCCAGCCGGGTCGCGAGTGGGCGTCCCCGGTGCCCGAGATGCCTGCGCGCGGGGGGCTTCGGGGAGTTCTCCGCAAGGGGTGTGTGTCCTTGCTGTGCCGAACCTGGAACAGTGCGTGTCCCTGTGAGCATGTCCCCATGCGCGTGTCCCGGTGTGCGTGGAAGTGTGGCGGCGTTGGGGTGCCCCGGTGGGAGAACGTGTCCGCAGCTCGCGCCTCGGTCGCTCTGTGGCGTAGTCCGCGCGCGGGTGACTGCGGTGCTGGTGGCTCTCGGGGCGTGCTTCTGCCCTGCCCGCGCATGTGTCTCCGGGTCGAGAGTGTGCGTGAAAGAGTGTGCGCGTGCACCTCCATGTGTGTCGGGTGCGTGTGTAACTGTGGCTGGAGCTAATATTTGGCCTTGGCTTTTGGGGAGTGTCCTTGCCTATGGTGGGGGCAGCGGCAGATTTCCGATTGATCCGGGGGTGGGGGGATGCTGGCAGTGAGAAAAACCACACTCAACTTTGCCCAATGGGTGTGGTCCCTGGGGCCAGTTAGGGCTGTGGGAGGGATGTGGGGGTGTTGCAAACCCCAAACCCCGGAGGGAGCTGGGGGAGGGGCAGGAGGAAACCAGTTGCTTTGGTGGACGTGTCCAACACTGACTGTCTGGATGGTACGCCTGTCACTCCTGCCCCACCCCCAAGGGCCGACTAGGGAAGCGTGGATGAGGTCAGCGAAGTCCCACCTAAGCCCCAGTCCTACTGTGGGGTAGGGTCAGAGGTAAGGATCGGAGTTGTCTACGCTGGAGAAAGGGCTCGGAGGCGGTGACGAAGTCTCCAAGTGTGTGTGCGGGGCCGAGGGGTGGGGTTGCTTCTACTACCCCTGGCCCTCTGGTCCTCGGTGGCGTGTGCGTTTTGGGGGCGGCCCAAGGGAGGGTAGGTGGTAGGGCCTGGAGGGGGATGGGCTTGCCCGCTTTGTTCGCCTACTTCTTGCTTTCCCCGCCGAGGGGGGAGCTGAGGATGTGTCCGGGGCGAGTCAGGGAGGGACTTGGAGGTGGGGGTGGGGAGGGGGATTTCACTCCAGCTGCTGCGGCTTTCCAGAGACTCAGCCAGGCCACGTGGGAGGGAATCAGGGAGGGTGGCGGGGGGTATGGGGGGGGAGGAGCCTCTTCCCAGCCAGCCCCAGGCCCATCTCCAGGAAAACAGCGGGTGGGTGAGTGTTGGGAACAGCTCGGACCCCAGCTTTGCGACCTAGACACGCCCCTTTCCCTCCGCGACTGCTGACCTGGCTGGAGGCCTCAGGGCTTTAGGTGCCTGCGACTAGACCGCAGAAGCGGCAGGCCAGGAGTTGTCAGGTGAATACGTCGGAGGAAGGTCAGAGACCTCTGTCCTCCCTGAGCCCAAAGAATTAAGGAATAGTTGTTCCTCCCCGAACTTTTGTTTTTCCTCCGGGATCCCGATATCCTGTCTGGGAACTGCACCCGTTGGGGCCTCAGGCCAGAGCAAGAGGGAGAGACTTTGGAGACTTGTCTCTCCCTGCTCCCCAGTGCTCTGGCCAGTGGGGGCCTACATTGGGGCTCTTCCTGGCTGCCCCCCGGAATGGCTGCTACAGCAACTATTTTTACCCTGGCTTCACCGCCTTAGAGTGTGCAAGTTTCTGCAGCCTGGAGACGCCCCTGTAGACCTCTGACTAGGCACTTGACCTGGGTGGGTATCCTTTCATTCACAATATTTGCTAAGCACCCTTTATAGGCTAGCACGTGCTTGGTGTCCAGGATGTAGTAAACAAGGCTTTAGGTTTTGGGCTTGAGGGTAGGGGACCAGGACTGACAAGTTCCTTGCAAACAGAAGAGAGGCTCCTGAGCCAGACTGGGAAGAGGAGGAAAGGTTCCTGAAGAACTTGGGGGAGGAGCCAGCCCTGCGGAGGAGGAAGGTTGATGGGGAAGTTTTCCTGACCAAGAAGCTGTTTCCAACATTGGGAGGCAATTTAGTTCAGATCATTGCATCAAGATAAATCTGGCTGGAGTTTAGAATACAGAGGTGGATTGGACAGATGAGGGACAGATGGGCCATGGATTGTCAGGAGAGGAGAGTAGCCCCAGCTCGTGAAGGGCAGTTATTAGCCCCAGGTTTCTGGCCTGAGACCTGCCCCTCTGTAAGCAGATTTTCAGGTCAGCTTTACCTCAGTTCACTGCAGCCAGTGTGAAGAATGGATGGTGCAGGGCTGGGCAGGAGGGAGGCAGCTAGTGGAGTGGCAGTTTGGGTGGGCTAGAGTGTCTGGATTCTAGAGGTAATAAGGAAATGGAGTCAGTAGGACGGGACAGATGGGCCAGAACGAAGGGCTGGCGCTGAGATCAGGACAGTTCCAGCACCTGCTTACTTCCTTTAATTGCTCCTGGGTCAGAGACTGTGGACTGAATTCATAGGGATGAGACTCCCACTGAGGGCAATGGTAGAAAGGCTAAGTTTATTATATACAATAAGTGGGGTTCCCCTTTCCACTCAAGTTAGAAGTTGGAGCATGGGGAATCCAGAGGGCTCTGAGAACACAGGAACTTTTCCTTCCCTGGGAAGTTCCTTCTCTGCCATCCCTGGAGGCTCAGAGGCCCATCTTAGAAAGACTGGAACCAGGACAAACATTGGAAGCTTCTTTTAATAGTGAATCTTACCAGGAAGTCACAAAACCTTCTCTTGATCCTGGATGTATTTTCAGGGTCTCATTAATCACACATTTAAGTACAAATTTTCTCCTAAAGGTAGATCGAGTTAAGGGAGCTCATAATTAGAGCATCATGCAATGTCAGCACTCAAAAAAACGTAGAAAGCCAGGCCTGGTAGTGTACTGCATCTGTAACCCCAGCACTTAGAAGACTGAAGCAAGAGTATCACTGTGAATTCAAATTCAATGACAGCTTGGGCTACATAGTGAGACCTTGACACAAAGGTCTTAACCCCTCTTTCTATCTTAAAAGCACAAGAACAGTCAGTTGTGGTGGTCTATGAATGTAATCCCAGCATCTATGAGGCTGAGGCATGGGGACTGCCAGTTTGAGGATAGCCTGGACTATACAGTGACACCAAACCCCAAAAAAAAAAAAAAAAAAAAATAAAGTGACTTCCCAAAGTTATACAATTAGGACTGAACTGGAGCTGTACCCAGTCTCCTGGCTCGCTCTTAAACTACAAGGCTGGCAAGCCACCCTCTCCTGGGATTTGGTGCACCCATACCAAATTCATCCTCTCTGCACTTCTCTCCCCCACAAGAGCAGCTGTCATCTTTAAGCCTGAGTTCTTTCTCAGGCTAGTCCAGTGATCCAGAATTATCCCTTCTTCACCACCTCCTTCTGTTCCCTCCCATGTCTCTGAAGGACAGCAACCAGATGACATGGAATTCCAGATGCAAAACAGATGTCATTGCCAGGCAGGCCTGGGGGATCCTAGGCGATCAGGAGGAGGAGTAAGGGGCTCTATGGAGAAGATTCTATCTTGGTGAGAGGGAGCAATGGAAGGTGAGGTTTAGGGAAGGAAAACCAGAGAGGATGTCCTGCCATTCACCCTGCTCTCTTCAGACCCAGCCTAGCTGCCGCTCCTACTGTCCCCTGCTGGGACTCAGACATCTTGTGGATTTGAAGGGACCATGAGGTTATTGGGGTCAAGTAAGCCAAGGACCAATAAACTCTCTCCCTCAGGTATAGACCAAGACTCCTGGATCATTTGATAAAGGACTTAGTACTTCGTCATGACCTTCTCATATAGTTTGGAGGACAGAGCTCTGACACCTATCAGCAGAACATATGGGGGTGACACAGATGCAGGAGAAAGATATTTTTAAGCATATGAACAGTATATAATGTGAGAACAGGCAAGGTAACAAGCTCCTGGCCCTAGTAATGCTTAGACAGTTTCTTTCACTGTCGGTTTCCTTTCTGTTTCTTTGTGGGTTTTATTTGCTTGTTTTAGATGGGTTCTTTTGTAGCCTGGGCCTGCCTTGAACTCACTATGTAGCCAAAGATGTCCTTGAACTTCTGATCCTCCTGCCTCCAAGTTCTTAGTGCTGGAGTTACAGATGTACACCACCATACCCAGTTTATGTAGTGCTGGGAATTAAATCCAGGGTATCATGCAAGTACTCCACCCAATGAGCTACATACCCAGCCCCCAGTCTCTGTGTTTTTTAAAGAATTTTGTTAGGTGACTAGTGTCATAGTAGGTGTCACATAATATGCCAGGCAGTTTCTATCTGTATTACTCAAATTATCCCCAGTATCAAAGGGAGTTACTGTTAGTTTCACAGATAAGAAACTGAGGCCTAGGAAAGTGAAAAGGACTTTATGACTATTTGAGAGGGTCTACATCTCTAGTCATTTGAGGAGTATTTACTGAGTATCTACTCTGCACCAGACACTGTTTTAGGCATTAAATCCTAAAAGCTAACTAGGAGATAATCCCAAAAGTTTTTTGTTTAGTCACCGAGAAGGGCAAACCAAAGTGGGGCTGGGATGTAGCTCAGTTGGTAGAGTGACTGCCCATCATGCACCTACCAGGTCCTGTGATCCAGCCTGTAATTCTAGCACTTGGGAGGTAGAGGAAAGAGGATCAGAACTTCAAGGTCATTCTCATGTTTTTTTTTTTTTTTTTTTTTTTTTTTGGTCTTTTTGAGACAGGGTCTCCCTGTAGCCCCAGCTGATCTGGAACTGGCCTCAAACTCACAGAGATCTGCCTGCCTCTGCCTCCCAAGTGCTGGGATTAAAGGCCATCCTCAGCTGCTTATAGAGTTTGAGGCCAGCCTGGGCTATATGAAACCCTGTCTCAAAAAAAAAAAAAAAGTCTTCAGTGGAAACTACAGTTATCCAGGTGTCCTAAGAGCAGGAAGAGGAAGAGGGACAGGTGTCTAAGTCAGACTGGTTCAAAACCTTTCTAGGGAGAGGGAACACCAGTAGCATGTGGAAGAGCAAGAAGCTTTCAGAGGCTTGGGAGTGGCTTTGCTACATGGCAGGGGTGG